AAAATTGAAAATTTTCAAAAACACATGAGAGACTCTTTTGTTTGTTAATGATGCTGCTCAAAGTCAATATGTCTATAAGGGTAGAACAAGGCCGGTGGAGGTAGTGTGAATATTAGGGTTGATAAAGAAGTAAGAGACAATGTTTGATCAAGAAAAATAAGATATAAGTGGTTCATCCTAATTAAAGAATTAAGGTTACATTCATTGTAATAGAGACTCTTATTGTTTGAATTTGTATTGCTTGAAAAAGAAGATTATAGGGGATTTCTTGGCTTAGAGCCTTGGTACAAAGCACATTTGTATTGCTTGAAAAAGAAGATTATAGGGAGTTTCTTGGCTTAGAGCCTTGGTACAAATCACATATTGCGAATACAATTTTCAAAAACTCTCCTTTTTTTATTAGTGTTTTCGTCTTCTATTTATACACGTCATCGTCTAGAGTTTTTTGTGTTTTCTTCCTTTTCTTAGTTGATTCTGTGGTTCCTTGTTCCTTTATCATGTAGTGGTGTCTATCACCTGATGCATTTTGTGCCCACGATCCTCCAAACGGTATATGTACAAATATTCCTTATATCAAGAAGTGTGTGTTCATTAAGGACTCCAAAAGTTGTCCCCTGGACACGTGGCGTGATAGAAGCACTTTGGATTTATCATGTACCGAGCTCTTAGTTCTCGGACTGGTCTATTCCTCTGAACTTGATATAATCGAGTAAGAATATACCGATTTAGATGTCATTGGACTTCCTTTCTTGGGTTGTCTCACATTCTTATGATGGGGTAGGCTTGCTGCGAATGGGCCCATCGAGTGTTTTTGTGCATGAGCTACCTAAATTTTGGTCAAGAACTATCTACACTAGACATATTTGGTCAAGAGCTACCCAAATTATTTGTTGACCATATTTAAGTATCACGTGACAAGTTTATTAATATTTTAGATGTTGTCGATCTGAGGGACCACATAGAAATATATCCAATACTTTAGGGACTAAAATGATGTAATTAAAATATAGAGACCAAAATGAGATAAATTCTATACTTTGGGGACCTCCAATACAATTAACCATTTAAACTATAAATGTAACATTGTTTTCATCAAAATGTATATTCTTAATAACCCTTTTTTATGTATAGTCTCATACAAAAATGTCATTTAGATGCACTACAAAAAAATAACAAAAAAGACTTCACATCAAAATATTATTTATTTCTTGACTATAAGACAGTTGTTCTAGTGTTTNCAAAAAAAATAACAAAAAAGACTTCACATCAAAATATTATTTATTTCTTGACTATAAAGCAGTTGTTCTAGTGTTGATTTTTTTTACAAGAAATCTATCCATAGCTGATTAAAAAATAAATTTTTCTAATTAGATTCACATTTAAAGGTTCGTCATTAAGTTCGTAAGGAAGGAAATAATATACTACGCACGATCAAATTATAATCCATAAATCCACAATAATATAATCCATAAATCCACAATACTTGTGTGTATATGTTGCTGAAATTTTAGATCTAGTTCCCTTGTATTTAAGTCTTGTTGCTGATTTTTTGTCCTGTTCATACTTTATTTTGTGTTGAAATTAATGTGAGACACTACAATAAAATTCGGCCAATGTTTTGTTTTTCTTGAGTCTTATTCTTGTGATTTTGGTGAGATAATTGTTGTTATATATCCTAACACTAATAACAAAGTAAGTTGATTTGTTGATGAATATATCAAAGGTTCCAAGAAATCAAAGGTAAGAAAGGAGTGGAGGTTGATGAAGAAAGGTAGAGTCGCAGAGACCAAAGTTTGATCGAAGAAGACATTTAGAAGACTTGACGTAAAATGATTGCCCCACCAAAGTTATGTTGAATGGTTTGAAAATTACACTAACCGCACCTATATTTTATGAAAATTTTAATGGGGCAAGATTTTGAAATTTTTGAAATTTTCAAAAATTCACTTAAACCCCAATTTTTTTTTAAAATTCTAGAATTGTAGATGCCATGTCAAAAGAATTATAATAGTAAAGAAATGGAGGAAATTCCATTTTTCCAAACTTTTTAAAAATTACTCTATTGATGGAAACATAACATTGGAATTTTTTAGTTTGTAGGTCATGTTGAAAATATTTTCAAAAAGGACAATATATATTTTTTGGTTTTTAACTTATGTGTTTTGTGTCAATTTGATCTTCAGTTTTTTAATTGTGCTAGTTTAGTCTTTCAATTACTCAATTTGCGTCACTTGATTCTAATCGAAACAACAATTTAAATTGACTAAATGGTCACACACATCTCATGTGATCTATGAAGCATAGATACGAATATGGGATACAGGTACAATATAATACAAATACGACAATACAACAAAGTGTAAAAAAGCATGATACGGGTAAGGCCAAGATACGGTTATAATGAAATATATTTAATATTTTTATTATTTTCAACCAACTTAATACTTATATATTTTGGTAGTTCTTTAACATATAATAAGAAAAATTAGTAATATTTTTTAGTTTTAAGAAAATATATATAGTGTTGTTGTGGTATATTAACAAAATGAAATGACTAATTAAAAGAATCAAAGTTAATATTTACCTAGTATTTATAAGTAATTTTTGCTAAAATTATAATGTAATAGCATTATTTTATACTCTTTTGACATGTGATTGTAGATACTACTTAAAAAACACTCACGTGCCTTTGAAGTAATATGAATTTTTTGTTAATGTATTGTATGATATGTGAATTCGAAAAGAGATGTTAAAAGTTCAATTAAAAAATTATATATGTTGCTCGACTATAAAAGTATCCGTGAAATATCCTAATATTTAATTATTATCGGATACGTAAAAGGTGTATCTGATACGTAACCTTGAATATCCGACGAGTATCATATCTGATACGGTATTCGATGCGGATATGTCAATCTCAACGAAATATTTGTGCTTCATAGCACGGGACATATTGAGTTAAGCTCAAAGAACCATTCAATTTAAATTATTGAGGAAGGGAGGCAAGTATTTTGATCATTACAAAATGTGTAAGTATTTCGATTCTTTGAATGAGAAGGGACACATCAAGGTCGATCCTTTGGCTTCACACTTAAAATAGTCGCTTAGGGTCCTAATTAAATTTTTGGCCCTTAGTTCAGCTATGTGCTCTTAGGCATCTTTAGATTGATTGAGTTTAAAGGCCTGATGTATTTTACAAGCATTCTATGTTAAACATTCTAGAAATGCATAAAATGTAGTAAAACCTTTTAAAAAAATAGTCGCCTCCCAGTTAAATTTATAGCCTTAGTTCAACTCCATGTTCTGAGGTGCCTTTGGATTAACCGAGTTTAAAGACCTAATATATTTCACAAGTATTCTATATAAAACCTGAAAAGGCTTGAAATGTAGCAAAATCTTCTAAAAAAAAACCTAAAAAGTAATGATTTCTAGCCTTCAAGTAATAATCTCTCAAATTCCTTTCACTCTCTCCCTTTTGGTATCACCGCCTCTCTCCAAGACTTTCCATCCCCTTCTCTTATTGTGTTGCTTCGGCCCTTTGTCCTTATCTCTTAACTTCCGCACTCTCTCTTTATGACTCAAGTTAATTTATTCATACACTCTTGACTTCAAATTTGCACTCATTTTATCGTCTGATCTCATCCAATTTCAAAATCACTAAAAACTTGAAATTAAATTGCATCGCAACTCTTTGTAAAAATGTCTAATAATCGTATAATATATATTCGTATTATCATTCTAAATATTGATAACAATCTTATTTGTTTGGTCGCCCTTGAAATCAATGGTGTTGACTCTCTCTTTTATTTATTTTTTACTGGGTCTATTGAAAAAATTTAACTATTAAATGTTTGTTCGATCAAACAACATACAAAAACGTTAAGTTCAAAAGAGTTTTTAAAATTGTAAATTTTGAATTCAAATTAACGTTGTTGTTCACTACAATTTTCTTTTCATTTTATTGAACAAATTAAATAATTTTATTTATTTAATGCCTGTTTAGATTGGCTCAAAACCTTCTATCAAGAGGAATGTTTGTGAAGTAAACTAAATTTCTATGGCTAGACATTTTTTATCCCACTTCTTCCTTTGACATTTTTCCAAGTTATAATTATCATCAAGATCACAAGCAACACATTAACTCACGTGCGCACATGATTGAACTTTAACCTCATTTCATTCACAATTTGACTTGGTATAGCCACTCCAATCTCAAAATACAAGTTCATAATTAGGGCGACGTCATAAAAAGCCTTTTCCAAACTAAAAACGATTATGCTAGTGCTATATTCACCAAGTGCCATCGAACATATCAGGGACCATAGGATTCNGATTCAAAAAAATTTTAAATTTTCAAAAATTCACTTAGGTCCTGAATTTTTTTTTAAAATTTCAGTGTAAGCCGTTGGCGCCGTACTAAATCCGCCCCTCCACACAAGAAAAATAACCTATTGGAAAGTCGACATAATTGTTTGGCTATTATATGGATTATTGGTTTAATGGTTAAAATTTGTTTCAATAACCTCGGAGGTTGCAGGTTGGTACTCCCAATACGTCCCTCCGAGACTTCCCAAAACAAAAACTAGATTATTGGGTGTTGTATTTTTATTTTGTGATACTTAGGTTTTTTTTCCAAATTAATAAAAAGAGTGGAGTTAAGACAGAGCGCCCAACGACCACCCTGTTAGGTCTTCATTGATGAGATCATAAGGTCTTAGACCGCGCTTGACACACCTCTCGAAATCAGACTTAATTAAACTAGGATAGCGATCAACCATCGAATGTTAATGAAAACTCTAAGATTTGAACTCTTAACCCCTAAATAAAAAATATAGTCGGTACCTAATAATAATCAATCGGTTAGTTAAACTTCGATGGAAATTGAAACTTATTCGAGATTCAGAGGATCCAAATGGTTCATAATGACCTTACTCCAAACCCATACTTATTTCAACAACTACTCATGGTACTAAAATGCCCTTCACCAACTCTCTCTCTCTCTCAACTTGTATAATAACGTTTCCCTCACCACTTTTCTCCTTACACCAACCCCCACCGTCTCTCTCTCTCTCCCCCCCACCCCTTCATGGCTCTCCTTCCACTCCTCTTCACCTTCGCCTTCATCTTCCTCCTATACCAACTCTACCAAAAGCTCAGATTCAAGCTCCCACCAGGCCCTAGACCATGGCCGGTCGTCGGCAACCTTTACGACATAAAGCCGGTGAGATTCCGGTGCTTTGCCGACTGGGCACAGACTTACGGCCCAATCATTTCTGTCTGGTTCGGTTCAACTCTTAACGTTATCGTTTCCAATTCCGAGCTGGCCAAAGAAGTCCTCAAAGAACATGACCAGCAATTGGCCGACCGGCATCGAAGCCGATCGGCGGCGAAGTTCAGCAGAGAAGGGCAGGACCTTATTTGGGCTGACTATGGACCTCACTATGTGAAGGTGAGAAAAGTCTGTACACTTGAGCTTTTCTCTCCCAAGAGGCTTGAAGCTCTCAGACCCATCAGAGAAGATGAGGTCACAGCCATGGTGGAGTCCATTTTCAAAGATTGCACCAATCCTGGTATGTTTTACTTGTAGTTATCATGTGTTTGATTTGGTGAATTCTTGGTTAGTATGAGGTTGGCATCTGCTAAATAGCCATGTAGTGGTAGTGTTTTTTAGTAAGGGGGAATTGTCTTAATCTTATATATTTTAGGGTAAAAATTGTAGTTAGTGCATAAACTTTGTCCTTAATTTTAATTCGGTACCCGAACTTTTAACTGCCATAATTAAGTCTTCTGATTATTAATTTCGTCTTAATTAAGTATTTTCATCAATTTTCATTATTAGATTAACCGAAGAATACCTCAATCTAATTCATTTCAGCGTTGATCTAATGGTAAAAATGAACGAAATTACTTAATTGAGATAAAATTGATAATTGAGAGACTAAATTTGGACAATTAAAGATTTAAGAATCATTTTAAAATAGGAGACAAAATTCAAGGGTAAAAATTATAATTGGTCCCTGAATTTTGCAGGTTTTAATTTGGCCCCTGAACTTTTAATTATCTCATTTTGGTCTATTAACTATCAATTTCATCATGTTAATTATGTCTTTCCGTCAATTTCAACCCTTAGAATAAATGGCGACACAGAAACTTGACAATAATGTGTGGCTTGCTTCCATTTGTTCTAACTGGTGAAATGAACAGAAAAACTTTTTTGACACAAAATTAATAGTTAAGGAATTAAATTGAGACTATCGAAAGTATATAGACCATTTTGAAAAAGAATGTAAAGTTTAAGGACTAACTGTGATATATTTAGCCTAAATTTTTTTTTTTTTTAATTATAAACCTTAAATACATTTAATTATTTGCTACTCATATACAATAATTAAATTGAATTTTATGTGATTAAGAGAACTTAAACTCAGCCCGTACAAGTTTATGTCTCTTTTTTTTTTTTTTTGTTATTTGTCTATTTGAACCAAGCGTGTGGATTATCTTCTTGTAGTTTGGTTGATCTGATCAAGATGTGGTTTAGATGGGTGTTTAGGTCACAAGCAGATAATCAATTCGATGCCTGCTTTGTTTTTAATTCACTCTTTGTTGGTTGGTACACCAGAACAAAACTTAATAAGTAATCTTGATGGTGACAGTAATAGAATGCTTCAAAAATACTTGATATGTTAAATTACACCTTTACCCTCGTACAGATGTGTATATATATATATATATATATATATATATCCTCATACTTGAAACAAATTGTCCACTAGGCACGACTTTTGACTCAAATTTTTACTTAAACTTATTTTTGTACCATTACAAAAAAGAAAAATTACTTATATTAGAAGTGAAATCGAAGTAGTAAAACTTTTACCATGTTCATAATTTGTTTGGCTTGATCAGAGCCATACATTTATGGTTGGATCTAGATCTTCTCAGTTTGAAGATTTCCTAATTTACGTTGAGATTAGTCGTTGATCTAATGGTCACCGTCCCACTGTTAAACCTTAAGGTTGCAGGTTCGAACTTCGTCATTTCCCTCCCAATAATAGTGTCAGACCCAAATGTATAATACTGTTAAATTATAAGTTTGAATCTTATCTAACTCAACGTACATATCTTCGATGATTGTATGCATTCGAAATTTATGGCATGATCAATGAAAAGCTTGTGTCTCAGCCCTAGTAGATTTGGGACTTCAATGAGTTAAATCACTCGATAAAACTTGTTCCCCTGATCAGCACTTGAAGGATAATCTCATGAATTATAACCCTGCAGATAATATGGGGAAGAGTTTCCTAGTGAAAAAATATCTTGGAGCAGTGGCATTCAACAACATAACAAGGCTTGCATTTGGGAAGAGGTTTGTGAACTCTGAGGGTGTGATAGATGAGCAAGGTCAGGAGTTCAAGGCAATCGTCGCCAATGGGCTAAAGCTCGGGGCATCGCTAGCCATGGCCGAGCACATCCCGTGGCTTCGTTGGTTATTCCCGCTCGAGGAGGAGGCGTTTGCTAAGCACGGGGCACGTCGGGACTGTCTCACCCGAGCCATCATGGAGGAGCACACCCTTGCACGCCAGAAGAGTGGTGGAGCCAAGCAACATTTTGTTGATGCATTGCTTACCCTTCAAGATAAATATGACCTTAGTGAGGACACTATCATTGGCCTACTATGGGTAAGTCCATCACTCATTCTCATGATCATGTGACATTATGATAGCCTTACAAAAAAAAGTGACTTTACGATATCTTTACAGACAAAAAATCAAAACATGTCTAGTTGTTGGAGCACATTGATAGTATTTTGAAAAATTCAATGTGTGACTCTCAATATTAGAGGGCTAAAGTACAAATTCTAGAATTTTGAGGGGGTTAAAGTGCCACTTTTATCAATAGAAACTCTATAGTAAACTTAGATTGGACTATGAGATTGCAGGGTGATTGATGATTTGAGCTTAGTACTAATTGTATATCTATTTTTAACAGGACATGATCACTGCAGGAATGGACACAACTGCAATCTCTGTGGAATGGGCCATGGCGGAGTTGATCAAGAACCCAAGGGTCCAACAGAAGGCCCAAGAGGAACTAGACCAAGTTATCGGACTCAAGCGCGTGTTGACCGAAACTGACTTCTCAAACCTTCCTTACCTCCAATGTGTAGCCAAGGAAGCGCTCCGTTTGCACCCTCCAACCCCACTTATGCTCCCTCACCGAGCCAACGCCAACGTCAAGATTGGTGGTTATGACATCCCCAAGGGCTCCAACGTTCACGTAAACGTCTGGGCTGTAGCCCGTGATCCCGCCGTGTGGAAGAATCCATCCGAGTTCCGGCCCGAACGGTACCTAGAGGAGGATGTTGACATGAAGGGGCATGATTTTCGTCTACTACCATTTGGTGCTGGAAGAAGGGTTTGCCCTGGTGCACAATTGGGAATCAATTTGGTCACTTCCATGTTGGGCCACCTTTTGCACCATTTTTATTGGGCTCCACCTAGTGGGCTGAGCCCAGAAGAAATTGACATGGCGGAGAACCCGGGACTGGTGACCTACATGCGCACCCCACTACAGGCCATGCCCCGCCCAAGGTTGCCGGCCCAGTTGTACAAACGTGTGGCTGTTGATATGTGATTTTTTTTTTTTTTTGGTTGGATTTAAATTAGGTTATGTAATTGGGGTGGTCCAGGAGAGAGAATGTGCCAGTCACCAGTGTGTATCGCTTCTTCATTCCGGCATTGTCCTTGTCCTGAATCCAAGAGGAGTAAAGTTACATATTTGCATGTTGTTCTTCATCTATTTTCCTTTTTTTTTTTTTTTGACTAACTACTATGTCTGAGTCCTTTTCGTATTTGAATTGTGTCGTTTCAAAATTAACTCGATTCATATATAATACATTTGTAATCTTGTGTGATTGATTTTTGTCGTCTATCGACCTTTTAGATTCAAATTTGTATTGTGTATAATCAAATTTGCATTGACATGCAGGACAAGTAAATATTGAATGCAACAGTAATACTATGTTAGCAATGTTACCATGATATTACTAATCAAAAATAAAACACCAAGTGGATAAAGTGAACTCCACTTAGATAGTGTTTTACTTACATAAAAAAAAGAGACGGTAGTTATTCGCTTACATAGAGGGTTAGTTATTAATTTTAGTGCGACTCATTTGTTTATTTATTTTGATATTATTGATTGGTGATACAATTTCAATGTTATCACATGGTATCACCGTTATAATGAATATTTTCTCCTAAATGACGCCTTTTTCCACAACTATGGTTGGGTGGAAATAACATTGTCATATGCCCGAATTCTACAAAATTGGCAAAATAACTTTTTTTGAAGATGGCTTTCACTAAAATCGGGTGAAGAGTGAAAAATGTCCGCTAATGCCCACAGGATAAGATCTTGCGGTTGTACAAATAGAATCAAAACATGCATGCCACGACCTCAACTCTACATGTATAATTCTAATTAAATTAAAAAAAAAAAATAAATAATACATAATAAAATAAAAATATTATTTATACCTAATTTGAGAAATTAATTCAATGCAATGCAGACATTCGATTAAAAATATGTTCGATCTAATATTAAAATTTATAATTAATCCAATAAATACAATAAATTAGGTCCCCAGATTAAGTCCTTATAACATTGCTCATAACAAATTGTCTCAATCATACACCACCACAACATCGTCGCCACCATTGCACATAATTAGAGGATGTCATTTCTTTACATCGACATAAATACGATAAGAAATATAAACTCTACACAACAAGAATTTAAAAATAATATGATCATTTAACACGAATAATATATAAGTTAGACTAATGTTAGACACGAATAACACATTTATGAGTTGTTTTAAAATTAAATATTTTGTTATTGGTATAAACACGTCACGGATTATAATAACAAGACGACAAGAGTTGACACCCAAACCATGGCACCACCAAATCAAATCCCCAATTCACAAAAAACAAAAAAAAAACCAAAAAATAGAAAAACAAACAATTTCACCTAAATTTGTAACCCGATTTGCACCTAAATTTGTATTCACAACTCCGATGACGGCTGGAATCAATTCGGGGCATAATCGATTTGGATCTTTGCAACATCAACCCACCTAGCTCCTTCCTCCATTACTCAAATTGACATGCTCGTACTGCAATTTTTTTTTTTTTATTGTTTTAAGATTCATTTTCTTGAATTTTAGAAGTTATGATGACTTTGAATAGAGCTGTTAATTTTATCCATTAATATAAATACGATACAATAAGAAATTGAAAATGACATCATTAATTAATATGAAATTATATTCGTTAAAAAATATTTTTTTAGCATCATATAATTAATCACCAAAATTTTTATTTTCTTTCTTTCAAGTGTACGCCACATAGGCTTATGAGAATTTAGATTTCTTTCAATAATTTTTTGTTCAAAATATCCAACATTAATGAGTAAAAAATCCATTTATACATAATGAGTCCTACTTGATTTCCCAGGCAACTGATTCACCAAGACAAAAATCTATTGGGGAGATTGGATTACATTCACGAAGTTCTTCAAAACCCAACCCCGAGAATTCGTATATGGGATTCAAGCAATAAATCAAATCCCTCGTTTGGTAAATGACATGAATACATGTGGGGCTCATAGATTTATGTCAAATTATATTTGTCAATTAACTAAAATGTTCATTATTAAGTAAATATAAAAATAATTTTTTGGGTAAAATAGTCTTTTTATCTACAAATTTCATCTTTCACTTTTGAAATCTCCTACCCCACCTCGAGCGGATTTCATCAAATCCACTATTGATATTGGGTCAGAATTAGTCCAATTGTTTAAGTAATGTGCGCCCCAAACTATTTTTTCTCAATTCTATTCACTAATCCACCTTAAACCCATAAACCAAAAGCCCCTTAAAATAGAAATTATCTAAAATATCTAAATTACCCTTTATCTCTTTTCAAATAATTATTCATAAATCCTTCTTTAACCCTATTTAAATGTCTGCTCTCATGAAATATCACTATTAACCCTATTCTCCTATTCTCTTTCCATCTTAACCACCGATACTCACTTAACCACCCATACTCACTTAAATACCCATTACTTTCTTATGCAACTACCCTAAACCACCCCCCATGTAATTTATTTATTTTTATCTCTTTGCACTCTCATATCTCTCCCACTATCTTCATATCTCAATCTACAACCATTTATTTCACTGTGGGGCTCAATATTTATTAGGATTCATTACTTATTCAATGGTCGAGATTATCAAGTCTAACTTTTAAGTCTAGTTTTTAAATCCATATAGCATTACTCTAATTAGCAACATAAACAATCATGAGCAAGACACACTAATAAAGAAAATTTGTTATAGTGTAGACATTAACAAACCAAATGCTATTCAAAATTTTGAATCGAACCGATTCAATTTCTTGATGTATTCAACTTTTTATACGCCTTATCCTAATATGCTAACAATTGAATATCCAATCTGATAATTCGATCGATCCGAATAACTAGATGAAGTTTTATATTAGCCAATTCAATTTAATTTTATCAAATAATCATTTATGTCATAAATTATTTTCATAAATATAAATGCATAATTTGGATTGGATTATTATCAAACTGAATATTAATATATTAAAATTCAAATCAATTAAACTTGATATAATAGATTCAGACTCAAATTTAGATTATTGGTAAAAAAAAAATGTCACATACCCAAGTAATTCATTTTAAATTTAAATTGAATTCAAATCAAAATTCCATCACTTGACAAACCTACTTCCTTTTTCACAAATCAGAGAGATGCAATGCTAACAGGAGGAATATCTAATTTCACCAAATCCTCTTAACGGGCTAACTCAAAGGTTAGAAAGATGATCCACACACTGGTTCCCTCTGTCAGGGTATGCATGATTCTGATGTTGCAGCTCTTCATGATATGCCTGCAATTTTCCACCTAAGACTTTGGAGGGATGAGTGACTGGTGCATACCCTAACATATGGAGGGCGTATGTCTCTAAGGAATCTGTCTCCAGTATGGCATGCACTCCCTTGGCTTTGATCATCTGGAGTCCTTTAAACCCTACTCAGAGTTCTGCTTTCAAGCTTGTTGTACAGTTGATTTTCCCAAAGAATCCACAGCACCAGAGTCCCCTCTCATCACTCATTATCCCACTAATTTCAGTTGGTCCAGGATTGCCATTAGAGTTGCCATCTGTGTTCATCTTGAAATAACTTGCAGGTGGAAATGTCCAACCAATCAATTTGGGTATTTTACATTGAGTTTGGTCTCTCATTCTTTCAAAAGCCTCTTAAGAACTCTTTAGCCAGACATCTAGTCTTTTTTGTGAGAAAAATAATGAACAATTGAAATGAAATCAAAAAAATATAGGTTGATGGTGTATGTGTGTGGATGAGCAAAATGTACAAATTTACTCACACGATTTGATCTAAGCTACTGGGCTCGTGCAAATGGTGTGTTGGCTTTGGGAAATAAGGGACGCTTCACACAGTAATTTTGTAGTGGTTCACCAGTTCGAAAGTTTGGTTAATCCACTCTTAAATGAAGTCTTTTGCTCTTTGATCTGTATTAATGGTGTGTGTGTGATTTACAGTGATACCACCGGAGTTACTTGCTTCGTACCAGAGACATTGTACAATATTTATAGTCCAATTCCTAGTCCTATGAGAATTGTGGCGAGATTTTCGTCTTCCTTCCGTGGCCTCTTGCTTGATTTTAGGTGATGGTTTTAGTGGTTTGAGAATTTTGTGCTTGGAGTGGGGCTTGCCTTGTGAATGCCAACTATTCTCCAATCATCTACTTCAGGGGCAGGTTGAGCGAGTTCTAGGTTTGGACCTCAGAGCTCAGACTCCATGAGATGAGCTCTTTTCCTGACCTCAGCTCTTGAAGTCAAACTTAAAATTCTTTCGTAATATCATCATAACTCAATATATATTAAGCAACGGATAAGTATTGAATGACTAGGTTTTATTAGAAAAATTAATAAGAGACTCGTTCATAAGATAATACATATTTAACTTATAACTTTTTAAAATTTTATATGATTTGTGTATCTCTGTTTTGCAACGACGACAGAGCCAAATTCCAGACTTACGAACGAAGTAACTAGATAACCATGCCAAAGTAGTAATTGTATATAGTACACGGACTTCCACCACTTGCTTAGATACTAAGCAATAGAAAAGAAAAGACAAAGATTTCGGGCCCACAACTCGACACGCGTCAAATTCTGACGCCGTCCACGTCCCCGTGGGAACAGCGTGCAAGCCCAAGAGCTTAAAATAGAACAAAGCCCTCGCACTCCTAAACCGAAACACCATCATATTAAATGAAATGAAACCCCAATCCTTTATCTACTTCATCATACGCTTTCTCTCCTCTGCGTTTGCGATCACTGCGTTTCAAACTGATCAGAAGAATTTGGGGTTTTGCGGAGGAGGAGATCAGATTCCAATGGCCACTCTCGGAGGAGTACGCGATTCCCCCGCGATTTCTGAGAACAGCCTCGAGATCGACACCCTCGCTCGCTTTGCTGTCGATGAACACAACAAGAAAGAGGTTTTTCTTTGCCCCCATCTCCCCCCTCCCTTCCCTTTTTTTTTTTTTGGCATTTGGATACTCTACATTTTAATATTTGTCGATTTGAGAACTTTAATCACCGATAAATTTAGTGGGGTTCACTCAATTCGTTGGGGTTAATCATCCAAAGTGAAATTGTAGAAGTTTCTTTCATTTTTGAATGTACTCTTTGTTGTGCTTCTTTTGGACCTTGGTTTAATCAGAATTGTCTTGTAACTTTGTGTTTTCATTATAATAAAACTATCAAAATCGAAGCAAAATCCTCAGTTAGGATCTCCTGTTCAGACTTGGACTTAAGTCATTCATGATCTCAATTCTCTCCTTTGTGAAATCATCCAATCACATTTAACCTTTATGTAAATTTTTTGTCATGATGCTCATGGAGTTTTTTTTCTTTCCTCGAAGAATGCATTGCTTGAGTTTGTGAAGGTGGTGAAGGCACAAGAACAGGTTGTTGCTGGTACTTTGCACCATCTCACTGTAGAGGCTATTGATGCGGGAAAGAAGAAACTCTATGAGGCAAAGGTCTGGGTGAAGCCGTGGTTGAACTTCAAGGAATTGCAAGAATTCAAGCATGCTGGTGATGCGACCTCATTTACCCCTTCAGATCTTGGCGTTAAGAAAGGTAGATAAGCATGAATTGACGCAGTTCCTTTCAAATAAATTTCTAGAACTTATTACACATGACAGGCTATCCGTCCATACTACATTGGGGTCCAATTTGAGAGTATAATGATGGTGTTTGTGGTGATGGAGGTCCATGCCCAAAACTCCCCTCCTAAGAAACTGCACTAACATTCTGGCTCGAATCATTGGATGTTTCATGAAGTATCAAGTGGTGGGTAATGGCGTAACGCCATGGTTTTGCCCCCCTCCTTCCTGTTTCTTTCCTCTAGGTTCCTTGTGCTTTTGATTTTTAACCAATCTGAAGAAGCAGACCAAGATTATCACATGGAAGCATAATTAGAATGAAGTTCAATACAGCTTTTTGTATTTGAAAATATACCTGGACTTTTTTGCAGACCGAGACTCGATTTGGCCCTACACCAGTCCTTTCTTTTTTCCTCTCTCCTTTATATGGAATGTGCCTTGATCTTTTTATGCATAAACTACCTTGAGTTGTATGGATATGACCACAAATGGTCATGAAGTGTTAGTGTTGGTACACATCTTATCGGGAAGACACGAGAAGGGTGATTTGCAGGAGGATGAGAGGGAGGAGAGGAGAGAGGAGAGAGGAGATAAAATCCCACGTGTCCAGAGAAAGGAAATGTGGAGAGAAAGTGTAGATGGATAAATAGCCAACCCTCATTTATTTCTTGTTCTCTAAAGTGGATAATGAGCAAATTGAGGTACTTATAGACGCTGTTGCATGTATGCCTAATCACATGTTAGAAATAGTTAATGAGGTAGGGACGTGTGTTGTCTTTACTACCATATTTTAAGAGGTACATATCCTGCACTTACCATTGCCTTGTAATACTCAGATATGAATAACTAGCTTTTGGTGCCCATGGAAGGTGTAGAGTAGGTGGAACACTCCATGGCGCCAAGGCTTCCCCCGCTCTTGCAGAACCAAGGGCACCTGTCAGACCATTCAACCCGCTTGTCACTAGGACTCTGTAGTACCAAAACTAGTTGTCACCTCATGATTAGACCTGCCAAACAATGCCTCTTCAGAGTCCCTTAGTGGCGCGCCAAAGGCAAAATACCTTCCACATGGCACCTATAAGGTAAGCGCCAACTGTGGTTTTACAAAAGGTATGAGGAGGGTATTGTGTGGAGATTAAGTTACAGAGTCCTAAAGATGTGTTCAAAAGGGAGATGCATGGAAGCTTAATGGTTTGTAGATTATGGCTTTATGTTGCAACAATGAAAGAGATTGATATGGAGGTTACAAAGTCGATGCACCTTCTAAAGACGAGTTCTAGGTGCAATTGCCAACATTTTCACCTGTACAGCACATATAAAAGTATACTACTCCTGTAGCAATGTTGTGTCATTTTAGTTTATCTTGCATTATTAATCTGTGATTCACATGTTATGATCTAGAAATGTTTCTGCTTGACCATTTAGTGATTCTGGTTACAAGCAAGATTTTCGTGGTTCAAGATGGTAAAAATATATCATTTTCTTTGACATATTGTGTTAAAATTTTGTTCTTCTTTCCTTACACTCATACTTTGGTGTACCAACCAGACTGCCATGGCCCAGGATGGCAAGCAGTGCCAGTACATGATCCTGTGGTCCAGGATGCTGCAAACCATGCTGTGAAGACCATCCAGCAGAGGTCCAACTCTTTATTTCCATATGAACTTCGTGAGATTCTTCATGCAAAAGCTGAGGTCTGCACCTTTAATCTTGCACACATATATGCATCCTCTAAAGAGTTTTGACATGGCTAAAGTTAAATCCTATGTTATGTTCTTGGATGTGACCAGAGATATGTTGAAGATGACTTTTTTGACTTATTTTTTTAGTAAATATATGATGATATTAACGTATGGAATCAGTTTTAAGGTTTGCTGATTTTCTTTTTCTATTTTTAGTGTTGATGATAGCTTAAAATTTTACTTTTCATAGACATTATACAATGATTTTTGTAATGAAAAAAAAATGATGGGATCTGCGATTATATAATCATTCCAAGGCTTTGTTGAGTTTAGTTGAGATGATAGCATTCAATGTTTGTGAATATTATATTTTTCTGTCATGAGATATTTTTGGTTGACAAATCAGTTTAGGGACATTTCTTTGTCGGTTTTACAACATAATTGGAATACATCATCTAGCTATTTTTTTTTTTTTTGTGTTGTATTTTTTGTTTTTGGGCGGATTTCTTAACCGCCATCTATGTACTTTTTTCAATTTCTATGAAATGAAAGTTTGTTTTCTTATAAAAAGATTGGTGTATGTTTAAGGTAAAACCAGGTCTTTTCTTTTTTTTTTTTTTTGGAATGTCACTTGATCCAGGGCTTACAATGTATCGAATTAAATTTTTATCTGAAGTATACAAAGAACAGTGGCTGATAAACATGAAAGTGAAACACAGGCAAATTTCAGATAGAAGCCTGCAGTAGGTGCCTTTGGGGCTTCCTCTTGGTACATGTACTTTTATTTTATATTTGTCAAATCTCTCCTTGATGCCATGGGCGCTATTCAACTGAACACTCTACTGGCTTGGACTATAAAAAGAGGGTTTTTGATTCTCTAGGATTCTTTTCTGATTATATCTGTATTTGTTCCTTGCGGGAAGCTTGGTTTTCTGGTATATCTTTTTGTATATTCTTGTGTACCACCTTTTTCTTTTTGAACCAGTGGGCCAGCTTGCTGTACCTGAATGGTCCTGTGGATGCTCAGGAAACATTTAAATCTTGTGGTGTGGCATGCTTCATGTTTTAGCATTCTTGCTTATGTCTTTGATGCATGTCATATTTGCATTTGATTGATGGCATTTTTTTCCTTGGTAGCATAAAGAATTCAGTTAACAATCGAGTGTCTAATAAATGTTGAATTTGCATTAACAGGTTATAGAGGAATCTGCCAAGTTTGATATGCTTCTGAAGGTCAACAGAGGAGACAAAGAAGAGAAGTTCAAGGTTGAGGTGCATAAGAATCATGAAGGTGCTTTCCATTTGAATCAGATGGAGCCGGATCACTCCTGATTCTGATGCTTGTATGAAAAGCAGCATATGGAGCCAGATCATACTCTGTAATACTCAAGAGTAATGGTATCCATATCTTTGGGCTTCCGCAAAAAAAAAAATTATGTTAATGACTTGTGTGTATAATAACACCAGTAGGTGAATTGTGTCAAATAGTGCACTTCAGACAATGCTTTTATGCATGTCTTGGTGACAAAACTTGTCCTGTTGTTTCGATATCGAATTTTGTTAATTATAAGCACCTGATGGAAACCTTATTAATGCTAACCCTTAATATTCTGTCATGTAAGGTCACCAATGCATGTATGTCCCTTAGGGTTGAATTGAAAGCTCCATTATATGTACATGCTGTTTACCAGAAAAAAGCTCCATTTTATGTGCATTTTCAGTATCCTTCCAGCTCCCTTTATGAACAGAAGCAGCGGACAGTAGTATATTCGGTCGTTTGCGGTGGAATAGATTCAAGCATCCGGGCCAGTAGATCCAGAGCATATAGACGTTGACTTGGTATAGGTTTAGAGAATGATTATACCTCCAGAAGCCTCAAGGGTGTGTTGGACAGTGAGATAAAGTGGGTTAATACCAATAAGGAGAGGTTAACAATGTAATGGGATCCACAAATATTTTGTTTGGGAAGACAAAAATGAGATAGGATATAAATTTCAGGTCCAAGTTCGACCCGACTACTACAGTAAATATTAACCCTCTACATGGGTTCAAATTAACCCACCTCTCTCCTGGGTTTAAATTCAAGTTGATGGGTTTTTTTTACGAGTAATGACATATTTATCCCTCTTCTTTTTTTGTTCTATTCTTGTTTCAAGTCATCTTCTGCGTTTGATCCTTCTGTGAAGGTGATGATGAAGGCGAACGAGAAGTTGTTTCAAGCCATGTTGCTCTCTTTCTCTCTCTCTCCCTCTCCCTCTCTCTGCTTGATTGGTATATTATTACAACGAAGGTCAATGGTTTATGTTTCGCTCAGACCTCCCTCTCTCTCTCTGGTTCTCCAACTGGTACACATGAGACAGTTTTATGGATCTCATCTTGTTTCTTTGACAGTTGTTTGTTTGGTTTCTCTGATTGGAACAGATTTAATTTTTTATGTTAGAGGCGACAATGGAGTGGGGTTGGGCCCTAATGGGTTAGATGAAACAGGGGATTGGGTTTTTGAATTAGTTTTTTTTTTTTAACTGTGAGTGGAAATCAGCTTGTGTGAGTTTATATATATCTGTGTGTATGAGTTTATATATAAGTTGGGTATAATAAATATATATTATGTATCTCTGTGTGTTGAGTTTATACCCAATTGCCATGAGAGAAAGAGGTGGAAATGGATTGTTCTAGACGAAGGTGGATGTGGCTGGGACATGGATAGTTTTTGAATGTAAATTGATGTTTTGGAGTGGTTTTTTGCCAAAAAATTTTTAAGGGGTAAAATGGTCAAGTTAGCCTAAATATTGTTTTTGATATCATTCATATCCGTGAGCCCCACAAATATGAAAAATTATTTATCAAATATCGGATAGAACATGACATATCACTATATCCAAACCAATACAAGTGAGTGGTGGGTTTGGCATGAGTAGGAATGGATATAAATTTGATATTCTATCCAATTCTTTCTTAGCATCCAAACACTCCCTAAAGGTGAAACTATGTCATCTAGATTCACAAGATGTTGGAACCTTAATTCTGATAATAGGAATGAACTTTGGGCTAATTAAGGAAAAAAATTTACTATGTTCATAGGAAGACTAGACCATGTTAAGGTTTAATATGTGGTAGTTAATCTCCAGAGGATAGCAATTTGCTTTTTGCTGAGATTCTTTTTCATTTTATCAAGTAGAGGAACATAATGTACTAACTTTATTCTCTTTGAGGACAAGGGATTGTCCACGTATTTAAGAGAAAAATCACTTTTTTATATATATATTTCTCTTCAGTAATTTGGAATTTCGAGCAATATTGGAGAGGCAGCACAAGCTCTTATTGAAATTCACCTTTTAGCAATCAGAATTAGGACCGTCAAAATTCGACACGATATGATTAATCGACACGAATTAAATGGGTTTGGGTGAGATTTTAATGAGTTTGAGTGAGATCTTAACGGGTTTGGGTGAGATCTTAACGGGTTTGGGTGATAAATGGGGTGACACGTCAAACACGTTTAATAAATGGTTCATGTTCGGGTAAGACCTGTCAAACCGTTTATCACATGTTTACCCATTTAAATAAAATTAATATAATAATAAATTAATAATTATTTTAAAAAATTAGCAAGAAAAAAGAAGTAAAAAAGTCAATAAAAAAAAAGTAAAGTAGTAATTCAAAGACAAAGGAGAAGAGTTGGAGAGCACTTCAAAGGCAAAGACAAACAAATGTCTTTTATTTTTGTGCCACATTGAAAAATGAGGAGAGATGGGGAGAGTTGAGTTGCTTATAAAAGACAATGACCTTTTGTTTTTATTTTTAAAACCTTCAAGTCTTATTTTTCAAAGACAAATGAGAGGAGTTGTAGAACACTTCAAAGACAAAGGCAAACCAATATCTTTTGTTTTTGTCCCACATTGGAAAATGAGGAGAGATGAGGAGAGTGAGTTGCCTATAAAAGGCAATAGCCTCTTTCTTTTTCTTTTAAAGCCTTTAAGTTTTATTTTTATAACATTTGTTTTAAAATTTCTCTTTTTTGAGATAAGTGCAATTAGTAGTAAAAAAAAATGAAGTATTAAAATTTGTTGATATAATTTTTTAAAAATTAAACGGATTAAATGAGTCATGTTGTGTTAACTGTTTATTAAACGGGTTATGTTCGTGTTGAGAATTTTTACCTATTTATTAAATGTGTCGTGTATGGGTTTATACGTTTTTCACCCGTCACCCGTTTAACCCGACACGTAACCGTTTAATCCGACACGATGAACATGATTTAATGTAGAGACCTAATCAGATGAGCGTAATTTAATAAAATTGTTAGATTAATTGTGAGTTTCAGTGTAAGTGTAGTATACTTTCAATCTAATGCTTATATTAAATTAAATTCAAATAGTATTTTTCAAAAATAAAAGAAACAAAATATAGTTTGTATTTTCATAGCATTGAATAGAGTCGGGGTGCATTTTTTCTCAATTGGTGGATTATTTTTTTAAGTTTGTACCTGGTAAAACTTGTTGGATTGGATAGAAAAAGGGTGGTTCGAAGAACGTCTAATTGTCCCTTCCAAACGATACAGAGAAGATTAATATTGTTCATGTGCAAAGATGATCGAGAAATAGAATAACGTCCAGTTGGTTGTGCATGGCCATAACCTCCGGTGATTCTGATCTTGAGGGTAGATCCTTGACCATTTTACTGATATATGCTATGAATAATTGATAGCATAACTTTACATGGAAGGAAAGGATTGCACAACTTGGTGAAATTTTATACAAATGTCGCATCTGCCGAAATGTTCACCTCCTAAAGTAGTTAAGATACATGTAAATTAGTTCGAACACTCCTCGCTACTGAACTAAAAAAAAAGAAAAAAAAGAATTGTTCACCTCCCACAACCAGTTTCTTTTATCCCTTTAGAGAATGCTCCCATTCCAAGGGTTGAGGTGGGAGAGGAGAATGGATGTCACACGATAATCAAATAATTTTGAAATCCTCTCTCCTTCATTGTTATTTTTTCCCATATCCTAAAGAGTTGTGCTATTGGGACCTAAAAATCTGACATAATTTGCTGATATAATAATGTGACTTCACTATGACATTTGGATTGACTGCAGGCTCTATCAAACATTGAAGCTTAGTGTTAATCCAATAATTCCAATGAAGCCACATCATTATGTCAACAAATTATGTCAAATTTTTAGGTCCCAATAGCATTACCCTATCCTAAAAGTACCACTAATGAAGGGAGTTAACGTATTTATCGAGCTATTTTTCTGAAGATCTCTTGAAAAAATTGTCACCTTGATAGACTTCAACCACCCAATTTTTGACGAATTAGTTGGGTTCCTTTATATAGGCCCCCATTTCTTAGGTGGCATCGAGTGGAATTAGCACTTTGTTCAGGGGAAAGTTGAAACATGGGGAGACCATCTAGTTAAAGGGAACAAGAAACATATTGACCCACTCACTAACTCTTCATCATTCACTTCACCTCACTGCTGATCCTCACGCTCCTTATCAACATTAAACGTCCATACCGTACATTCTTTTTTGAACCAAACCAACGCCTTATCAAACATATTTTCTTTTGCCAAGGCTCTCGCAAGCAGCTGTGCATTATACCCGGCAATTTGCACCACCCTACGGCTAAGGCCTGGTCGATTGTATACGATCATCAAAATTGGAATTGCTAACACCGATTTTGACTTGCTTAACAAGAAACATCTCCAAATTATTTGTGTTCACGGAGAACTATTCCAAACAAGAGCCTTGTAGAACACATGGATACAATGCAAACATCAAGAGCAACAAAACAAATCGTTGAGCAAAGAGAGTCAAAGCTCGAACTTAGGATCTTGAGTAACTAACTTCCAACATCCTCCCAACAAGATATTACTCTAAAACATTTGTTAGCAAATGTTATTACAGCAAACATATGTGATACAGCTACACGATAAACAAAATAGGAATAAGCTCAGAAAAGAGAGAAGGAGAAATCTACCTTAGGTGAATAGATCACCTTTGTGCTGGCATCAGTCTCTTTTGTCTTTCTCCTCGAATTCCTGCCATTCTGTTCCTAATAAATTAGCACTCTAGAGAAACTACTTTGATGACAGATTAGCCTTCTTCATCGTAATCCTCATCCTCATCCTCATCCAACTTTGAATTAAGGTTTGTAAGATGAATCGGGTCAATTGCAATCCTGTCCACTTCAGAAAGAGGCCATCCGGGATACTCTTCACCTTTAGGTTCGGTAGGCGTTGATGATGAGGTGCAGGCTGCTGCTGGTGCAGCTGTTTTATCTGCATTCTCATCCAAGCCAGCATTTAGATCAAACTTCAGTACTGCTGGATTGGCACCATCGCTGACTGCAATGTTATCTTTTAATGATTCTTTTGATTCTAAACCATTATCCATTGGCCTTCCAGGGCTCAGACTTTGCTTGCTATTGGGCTGTATGCAGGAGTCAATATCAACCTCCGGATGAGAAATTTCTCTATCTGCCATGCGACTGGCCCGGCCTCGCCCTCTTCCTCTACCTCTGCCTCTTCCCCTGCCACTGCTGCTAGCATGGCTCATCTCAGGCTACAGTGAAGGAGACAATGTGTTTTTATTACTAATATAAAACATTCTGATTCAAAACCAGAAGCAATCTATGCTTTCACACTAGCATTTAAGAGGCATATATATGACCCACCACATAATAAACAGCAATTAGGTTCAGTTTATTTTTACATCAAGTACATGATAAACAATATATATCGTCTATATGATGGTTGAAGTACAATATCATCCTTTGAAAAAAAAGTCTGAAAACGGACATAATTCATAAATTAGATTCAACTCTTAATAGGATCAAATCCACTAATACCAGAGGTCCAGTGTTCGACTATACCACATATCATAATCCATATGCTCTGACAGACCCCATTTGATTCAACAATCAGGTCTTGATCAAGTTAAATATGTATCCAAGTCCAACCACAACACGATGCAGTAAAACTACAACAATATAAAGTTTATGAAGTGAAGCCTAGGGATATAAAAAAATTCCTTACTAATATTGAATGCCACAGAATCTAATTTTTCTTAAATTTCGTTGCTGATATCTCTGATACAATTTTGGATATTAGTCAGACGCATAGAACTAGGTTAGAAGTCCATACATTATATGATTAATGATTCGACAGCTCTGAATGAAATGACTCAATTTGATTTTCCTAGAAGAAAGCTAACAGGTAGGTCATGGATTTTGGAACCACAAAATAACTAGTTAACAATTAAAAAAATATAAAAATATAAAATATAAAAACTAGACATGCATTCATGTTACTAAATACTAATGTTTTTAAGTGCACAATTTAAAAAAAAATCATCAAATGCTACTACAAGTGATTTGTTTCTTGCTTCTTGTGGTTTGCAGATGGATGTAATGGTTCCAAGCAAGGATCAAAATATCGTTTTGAAACAGTTGAAACATCCGAAATTTTTCCGTTTTCAAAGAGACCGAAACGAATCAGTGATAGAATCAAAATTCTAGTACTTCAAGGTGTTTCATAATGTTTCGAAATGTTTGATTATATTTCAATGCATTTGTACAATTATTTTGGAATGTTTCAAGATATNTAGCCTTCTTCATCGTAATCCTCATCCTCATCCTCATCCAACTTTGAATTAAGGTTTGTAAGATGAATCGGGTCAATTGCAATCCTGTCCACTTCAGAAAGAGGCCATCCGGGATACTCTTCACCTTTAGGTTCGGTAGGCGTTGATGATGAGGTGCAGGCTGCTGCTGGTGCAGCTGTTTTATCTGCATTCTCATCCAAGCCAGCATTTAGATCAAACTTCAGTACTGCTGGATTGGCACCATCGCTGACTGCAATGTTATCTTTTAATGATTCTTTTGATTCTAAACCATTATCCATTGGCCTTCCAGGGCTCAGACTTTGCTTGCTATTGGGCTGTATGCAGGAGTCAATATCAACCTCCGGATGAGAAATTTCTCTATCTGCCATGCGACTGGCCCGGCCTCGCCCTCTTCCTCTACCTCTGCCTCTTCCCCTGCCACTGCTGCTAGCATGGCTCATCTCAGGCTACAGTGAAGGAGACAATGTGTTTTTATTACTAATATAAAACATTCTGATTCAAAACCAGAAGCAATCTATGCTTTCACACTAGCATTTAAGAGGCATATATATGACCCACCACATAATAAACAGCAATTAGGTTCAGTTTATTTTTACATCAAGTACATGATAAACAATATATATCGTCTATATGATGGTTGAAGTACAATATCATCCTTTGAAAAAAAAGTCTGAAAACGGACATAATTCATAAATTAGATTCAACTCTTAATAGGATCAAATCCACTAATACCAGAGGTCCAGTGTTCGACTATACCACATATCATAATCCATATGCTCTGACAGACCCCATTTGATTCAACAATCAGGTCTTGATCAAGTTAAATATGTATCCAAGTCCAACCACAACACGATGCAGTAAAACTACAACAATATAAAGTTTATGAAGTGAAGCCTAGGGATATAAAAAAATTCCTTACTAATATTGAATGCCACAGAATCTAATTTTTCTTAAATTTCGTTGCTGATATCTCTGATACAATTTTGGATATTAGTCAGACGCATAGAACTAGGTTAGAAGTCCATACATTATATGATTAATGATTCGACAGCTCTGAATGAAATGACTCAATTTGATTTTCCTAGAAGAAAGCTAACAGGTAGGTCATGGATTTTGGAACCACAAAATAACTAGTTAACAATTAAAAAAATATAAAAATATAAAATATAAAAACTAGACATGCATTCATGTTACTAAATACTAATGTTTTTAAGTGCACAATTTAAAAAAAAATCATCAAATGCTACTACAAGTGATTTGTTTCTTGCTTCTTGTGGTTTGCAGATGGATGTAATGGTTCCAAGCAAGGATCAAAATATCGTTTTGAAACAGTTGAAACATCCGAAATTTTTCCGTTTTCAAAGAGACCGAAACGAATCAGTGATAGAATCAAAATTCTAGTACTTCAAGGTGTTTCATAATGTTTCGAAATGTTTGATTATATTTCAATGCATTTGTACAATTATTTTGGAATGTTTCAAGATATTTTGGTATATTTCGACCAATGTTTTGAAAAAAATAATTCTTAAATTTTTTTTTTTTCATTCTATTTTTGAAAAGAGTCGAAACGTTTCCGTTTTCTAGGTGACCGTATGATGAGATGAGGGGATATCTTACCATCTTAATCCTCTTTGAATCTTCATCGCTGTCATTACAATCATCAGCTGCAACTTTCCTGGCCGAGGGCAACGAAAGATTATATCTCTCTCATTAGTCTAGATAACAAGATTTGTGCAAGGGATGGAAGAGAATATTAATGGGAGCAAAGAGAAGAAAACGAGAACATAAGAAAAGGTTTTTCTAACCTTCTCTTTGACGTGTTTCGATCATCAGCAGCAGCATCCGAATGACCATAGTCAGGAACTTTGTTGACAACTTCCCTCAGAAAATCAAACACATTATAGCTTTGTACACAATGCTTTCTGCATTTTGAAAGAGTTCTTTGGCAATCATATTCAACACTAGAGAGCTAAAACATAGAAACTAAACGGAAAGTACAAAAATGCAGTTTTGCAACTAATCATTGTCAGAACCGTGGCATGTAACTATGTGAGAGCTAACCAAATGGCAGGGCATGATTTCAGCCTTACCATCCAAAAGGGCATATACGGATGATCATACTGTAAAAACCGATCAAACAAACTAACCACCTGCCCTTGCATATGCATCCAAGGATTAAGGCTTGCTAAATTTATTTTACCACCAAAGTTTTGTTGATAAGAAATAGTTAGCATGCTAATGGCTTTTGATGATTTCTTCACACAGTAAAACCAGTTCCAGCAAAAGGGTTGCCTATCAGATTTGTCCAATAAAGTAAATACACTGGTGTTCTGTAGATGCCATTCTCATATCATAAACCCATAAATGTAGACAACTTACTACATGATTGGTATTTAAATTTGTTTTTATTTCTTTATTTTCACTTAAAATCTACCATCCAACAGAACCTAAGCAGGATATCCCATATGAGAATCAAAATGTTTTCCTCTAATATTCTTTCTCACAAATGGGACATCGGCGAAAACCGCAAAAGAAAAATCAATCAATGGCCTGAATAATTTACCTGGACACTTTACTTGAAAATATAAAATCTTACATTTTTCAGAAAAAAGAATCCACCAATTAGATGGTCAAATACATATTTCTTAATTTACTTGAGTAATAATTTCAGTTGAAGGGATGCAAATGACATGCCAAATACTCAACTGCCTTTGCAAACATCAAACATATTTCATCTACAATGCTGTTCACCCCCTAAACCATCCGATGTTGGGTCAATAAAAATATCCAGCCAATTAAAAGTATGATTCATACAATTCCAGGAACATATTTGGGAGTAAAAGATTTTTGCCAACACTTTTATAAGCCAGTGTTGTAGTTGCAAAACAAACGGAAAGGGTAAAACTAAAATAAAATTAAAAAACAAAGCAGCAAGGTCAAAGTTGTTATAGCAAAAGCTAAGGGTTCAAATGGAATTCACATTGTGACCAACCACTTAACGAGTTGTATTACTGGAATGCTTCAGCTAAAACCTATTGTATTACAAGAACATATGTATGTCTGCTGAACTTATTCTTTTAGCAGAAATTTTTATTACACCACTAAAACGACAATTAGTAATCCTAAGTTTAGCTACTACAAATGAAATGTACAACTGTTCCTTTTGGATCACCAAATAGCATTCTCCCATAGGACCCATATGATTTGTTTCCACACTAACACACCCGGTAGCACCACAATATAAGAGCTAACAAGTGATTAAAAGAGAAAGGAAAATCTACAGAGCTGTTTTTCTTCTATAGTTAACTGAATGCTAATAGCTGGGAAAGAAAGACTTTAAGAAAATGGAACTTCACTTACAAATGCAGAGAGTTAACAGTCTTTGCTCCTCTCTGAAGGGTGATATCATATGTACGATCGCAAAGGTCTTGTAAAAATAATTCCAAAGCTTTAGCTGCATTGATACATTAGAAGAGTAAGCAATCAAAATATACATCAACAAACTGTGTAGGCTGCATTAACAACTACTTACAAACCAAAACAGGCACTGCCATGGCAATTTTCCCAACATCCTCATCAGCTTGCATTATCTTTTTTATCCGAGCCTGAGAAACAAATTTTGCATTAAGATGACACGGATGAATATAAATATACCTCATTCATTATGGTTCTTTCTTTCTCACAAACACAGAAGCATAAATCCCTCAGATTGGGGTTACAAGAACAATTTCACACATGAAATGAACAGAATAATGCGGTCCTGTAAAGAGGCTAGTATCCCAAGTCAAATAGGACAACCTAAGATTGATTTAGATGGTTGATGGACTTCTCCACGCCTTGAAAATTGGTTTTGTGTTGATTGCAATCAGAGCTAAGCCCTTGAGTGGTTAGTAGACTAAGTCTCTCACTCATTTAAATTTTCCGTATGCATGGTTGTTTGCTTGTTACATTAGCGCACATAAGGGAGAGTGTAAAGAAAGTTTGTACTCCACATAGCAAGGTTAAGGTCACCCTAGATTTGTTTATATGGTTGAAGTGCCTCGCCACTCATTACCAATTGGTTTGGGATGGGTTTCTTTAACAGGTTCTGAATTTATGTAGAGGGTTTTATGCCCTGTCGGAACCATCTTACTGCTTGGCATGGACAACTGAACCCCACATACCCCTCAAATTTTCCAACATACTTCTTTTTTTCATATATTCTGAATGTAACCCAAATGATATTTAAGGCTAGCCCCCCAATTTTTAAGGTTTCTAACCAGAAATTACATATTTTTTAAAGTTTGAAGCCCGTACATTTCCTATTAAGAAGATTCCAATATTAATTAGAATAGTTCTATACCAATTTAGCTTATTCAAACTGGTAGCGGTCCTTAAATTATCTAGTCAAAATATTTGTTTCTAATGAATTGCAAGAATTAGCTTAATTCTATATACTTATGATAACTTTGTAAGGTTTATCTTGGCCCCTAAAAGATATGTCCATAGCTTTATCCCTGCCACTTGGTGCATTAAACACGTATTTCACAGACTATGCTGAACACTATCAATAGCATACTGAACTTAGGATCCTTGAAAACTACGAGCTCATTCTTAGCTTAATGAGGTCGAGCAGGGACGAAAGTCGGCCTTAGAGATCCGACGGTGCCGGGTGGAAGGACTGTCGCTCAACGGAGAAAAGTGACTCTAGGGATAACAGGTTGATCTTCCCCAAGAGCTCACATCGACAGGAAGGTTCACACTAAAGTACTGCCCAAACTCCATCCTACCCAGTTGTATATTCTTATTATAAGAAAAATAAACTTTAAAGGGAAAATTCAGTGAAAGGGCAGGAATTAAGATTTCAAAGGCCTCACAAAAGCTCTACACTGCATGTCTAATCACTGAAATTATAGTGTATCCATTACCAATTAATTTCTAAATATTGCATTTTGATGCAATAACACAACCAAATTTGCTGAAAAGCAAAAGGAAAGTCTCCCTCCTATGACTAAATCAAATCAATAAAATATACTAATATGGTCAGGCTCACATTCTAATAAAAGACAAACAAGGGCCTCTTAACCAAAACTTGTGCAGTTTGATAGGCACTTTCCCTAATCGATGAATAGAAAATATTAGAGGACTCAACGTAGAAAATATTAGAGGACTCAACGTAGACATTGGCAAAAGAAAAGGCTGGCCTTGAAGTTAAAGGTGGATTCTACATGCCACTCCAAACGGCAGTGGGGTATCAATGTGCACCTTTGGTAACCTCAGTTTGCACATTGGAATAACTATCAGGGAAAAAGGGGCCATAAAGTCTTCCAGAGGCTGAAACACATGAAATGGAAGCCCAACTGTGGTAGTGTTCAGAAAAAGCTCCAAGTGGTCATCTATAATATACAAAACACAAGACTCCATGCATGTAAAACAAATATGCTCAATTAGGTCTCAAAAACAACAATAATCATTAATCGCAGGAGCTCGGGAAGGGATCAAGCCATTAGGAAACATATAGTTCTGTGTCACTTCTGCCATCCACTCTTCGAGCCATATATTAGTTTTGAACTCTTCACTGCTTGGCCAACATTATTAGCCTCTACAAAAGCTGATCAAGCCCATAGAGAATCCAAGTGCTGCACGCATATGAACATGAAGCCAGTTCATGGAAGCAAACCAAATCAAAGAACTGTATTTAAGCAGTTAAAAAGTGATTGGCTTAGAAAGTAGCCTACTCTACTACTAGTGAAGGACGGGCAAAAGATATACATACGATGCTGAAGGCAGAAGGACATCAGCCTCTGCCAAACCCACAAAAAAGACTCCCAACCGTGCTCAAGCCTCAAAGCCATCCATATATGTACACACACACATAATCTAATCAATACAAACCATGGTACCAAAATATCCAACCCATAAAATAATACAAAATTAAAACTTCACTGTGTCAACAATGCTACACAAGCTCATTCCTCAAATAAATCTCAAATTAACACACTACTTGACTTACCAGAGACACTATATCAAGTTCCCCTATTAACGCCAATAACACAGTCAAACTCATTTACATGACCCATAAGGAAGAAAAAAAAACCCTACTTACAAGCATAGCTGAAATTACCAATGTCAAATACAAAACAAAGCCAAAGCCATATCACATAAACCCTCAAAACACCCAGAACTAAAATACCCATAACCAAATTTCACCAAAAAGCAAGAAAAGCAAATCTATAACCGTATCTACACACATAAAGAGTAACATCTCTACCTATATATCTATCTTTCTCTATACATAACCAACACAACGAATAAAGAGGAACTTACAGCAGGGAAACGGGTATCCAGCTTCTTCCTCATGGTTTCAGATTTGGGCCATTTGTTGGAACTTAAAAATAAATTAAAGAAGAGAAGAAGAAGAGGCCAAAAGACGACTAATCAATTCTGAAAAAACGATTTTATTCACAAAAATTGCTCTAATCACAATAAACTTTTTCCGACAAAACCCATTTCAGATCCGATAAGAATTTACAGAGGAAATTTTTGGGTTCGCAATAGGCATCGATCGGGCCGTGCGGGTTTGATATAAGGAAACAGAAATATTAAAGGGAATACTTGTAAGTTTAGTCAAAGGTGAAAATTGATATGATTTTATCCAATGATGGTTCTTCGGACAAGCCTTGCCACAAGATAAACCAGTCGTAAAATGCCATCTGTATAGAAAACGACGAGGATAAGTGAAAAAGCAAACGATAAAATTACACTTTGACCCCCTCATCATGTACTCAATTTTACGTTATCAAAACTAGCTACGATTCAATTTCACTCACCGTTAGAGTGTTCATGGGCTGGGCCGGACCAGACCCTGAAAATTTTTGGGTCATTTGAAAGTTGAAATATTAAATTCGATATAATTATAAAAAAAATACATAAAAAATTTATTTTGAAAAAAAATACACTACTCAAAAACAAAGACGTAAATGCTCATTTTATAATATTTTTCTTTTCTAAAAACTGGAGCAAGACATTTATTTTAACCGTTGAAATTTAAAAACATTTATTTCAAAATTTCTTCATCTTCAGTAATCGTTCTGTATACTCCTTCCTCACAGAAAAACGGTTCATCTTCTTCAAAGAAACTTCCCAAGTTTCTATCTTCCATAAATAAGGAGAGGGTTTCGATTGTTAAAGGTAGATTGATTGACAAAGGATTTAACGTTAGATTGGCACAAACTCAAGAATGGTGAAAATTTTTGTTCGCGATTTGAAGAGATTTCGAACTTCGGCAATATCGAAACCTGAATTAGGATCTCATTGTTTAATAAGGTGATCGTTAAACTTTGTCATTCCATGTATATATATTTTTTTATTAACATCATGGGTTATCCAAAATCAAAATACATTACATTTATTTTGGTTTTAGTGTTTTTTTTTTGGCTGAAAGTTCTTGTTAAATTCATATTTTAGAGACATATTGTCGTCGTTGAGCAACATAATAGATCAAATCGAATATTGAAGACAAATGTGGTACACCTTTGGTTTTTTTTTTTTGCAAAAAGTCCTAAAATTATGTATTTTTTAAACCCTAGATGTTTTCCTCTTAGAAAAATTGATAATTTATTGGATTTTGTACACTTAATAATTTTTTGTTTTCAATTATTTGAATATAGGTCTGAAATTATGTTAGGAAATGTAAAGTCAAATTAATTTGCTACGTTTTTATTTGTGTTCAGTAGTTTTGTGCATGCGATACCAAATTCAAAACAGAGTTGTATTATTGTGAATGCAGTTATATGCAAATATATGTTTGTCAGAATGTAATATTACAGTGTTTGTATAGTGTATTGTTACACATTTATTGGTACAGTTTTATTGTTATACTGTTTTTGAAACATATATTTTGTTATACTGTTATAATTACACTGAATCTTTTATTATACTGTAATATTACAGTGTTTAGGGATGTTGTGACGCCCCTAAAACTGAGGGTCATTTGTCAACCCGTTGATCACCCATCAACCAGCGAAAATACCCGTGAATGCCACATAACCAGATACTACGGCACAACATCCCTTTTATTGAGATCACAACAACACAAAGTTTGGGTAGAGTCTCCCTTGTACCGGACACTCCCAAATGCATAACATGTATACCATTCAATCACATGATTCATCTAAGGTCCAATATATATCAATTTACTCTAATTTATTTTTCATTTATATCATTTGAACAAAAGAACCCAAGACTTAAAGACCTAGTAAAAATATTTCAAAATTTGAGATTTAAACAAAACCTACTGATAAAAGATATACAAGTTCTACCAGTAGAAAAAGGCTACTGGAAATGTTCTACTGCATAAACGTGATGTTCTACCGGTAGAAAAAGCCTATTAGAAAAGTTCTACCAGTAGAAAAGCTCATCGTTCTACCGGTAGGTCTTACCAATTTTCTAGCATTTTCATCCTTTTTCAATTTCAATTTATTTCAACCCTTTACAACACCAATTCAAACTCATATAACATCTATTTTAAACAAAAAAGAATTCATATGAGTCTATTACACTCCCTTACATGACATTACATGTCTAAAAACTAGATTTCATCTTAGTTTTACAAAAACATGATTCAAAAGTCACATCTCGGCTTTGTTTCAACAATGAGGGCCCGATTGAGAGCCGTCCACCGGCACATGTTCCGCAACTGAAATGTTGTTCCCATAAAGGGTGAGCCACGCGCAATAGAGTATCTCTTAAAAAAACTACTCCCTAACCTAGGTGTATATGAAATGTTCACATGCAATTCACAAGCAATAATCACTTCATTCAAGAATATACAATTCAACAATAGAATCCTCTATGTCATGTCATGATATGAGATGATACTCAAACATGTAACTCAACCCCAGCCTTTACTGACTCTCTCAACATATGCAACGTCATGCGTATGAATTCGGACATTCCAAGCCCCCGCCATTGATGTTGCACATCCAATGACCATTACAAATCTAGGGTCTTTCTTGGGGTAGGTATTTATGGACTCCTACCAACGGGCACCCAACCGACACAGCATTAATGAACTTCCACCAATGGTTCCGTGTACGATGACACACTTTATGGACTCTACACCAACGGAGTACGTATCCAATCATCAGGTTTTACACCCGACGGACAATCTAGTCCTTCTTGCTAACCTCGACCCTATTTTCAATGCAAACCGTGCGACTCAGTCAAACCATCAGCCCAATTATCCCAAGCCCATGCATCATCCACCAAGAATGATTTTTGATCAAACTATGCACACACACCCACACTCATGTTAATGCCCACAAATGCGATATTTTTTGTGGATACGCACTGTAAATGTATAATTGCATTTCATATCCTTATGTAACTAAGATCTCAATTGTAATTTTACATCATGTTTCGTATGTCGTGTGCACATAATGAACAACATTCTATCTCATTCAATATTCTCAATTGTCAATTATATTATAAGCATATAATTATCCAAGCATGTTATTCCAATTTCATCAAAACAACATACTTCAATTATTCAAGACATTTTATCAAACACCCACATACATCATTTAAGGCATTTTATCAACACCTACATATATCATTCAAGGTATTTTATCAAACACCCACATATGTCACATTTCTCAAGAAATCACATCAAGTAATTTCTACATACTCAATTCAATTTATATTTTATTTTACTCATTTCTATACCCACTTTCCATATTTCAAATATCATAGGTAAGTGTCACACAAGAGATTACACCTCTAACACACTACCCATTCCATATAACAACTATAGGTTAGAAATAAACCTAGTTAGGAAAGAATCCTACCTCTTTAAACGTAAAAACAAGTTGTAGAAACATTCAAGAACACAAACCAAGCTCAATTTTTGATTTCTCTCAAAATCCCATTTATGAATCTTCGGTGAAATTCGCAATTTTTGATACGTAGTCGTAGGCCTCGTAGCGTAGATGAATTTTAATTCTTGGCCCAAATAATTCCAACCAACGGGTAGCCGTAGATCGTAGAGAGAAGTTGAAAACTCTCTCTTTTTTCCTCTCCAACAAAATTCAGCTGAAAAATGGAAAGAAAATTCCTATTTATACCTTTTGGAATGTTTGACCCTCGTCGCGCCACACTTCCTCTATTATCAGGTCCGATTTTGTCCTGAAACAATTAAATTTCATTCCAATTCAAGTTCAAATTTTTTTTTTAAATTCCTTTAAATTATTTTTTAATTTTAATTCCATGTCTCGTTTTCAGGTCACACGACACCTGATTGCTTCGTAAAACATAAAAAATCTGATTATTTCAAAATTTAACAAAAATTAACTGGGAAACTAGATTTCACGAGATGAATCCAATAGTGATATCCGTTTCATCATCTGAGTTCTAAAAAATTTTGGATTTTTCACCCGTACCATAGTGACAAATTACCATTTTGCCCTTTTTTCATAAAAATTCAAATTTATCCGGGTTTTAGAGATGCAGGTGTGCATTCCATGTTAAATAATTGTGTGTGATTACACTTTATGTATATTCTCGTTGTTTTATTGTTACACTATTTTCGGTACACTTTTTTTGTTATACTCTTATAGTTACACTAAATCTTTTGTTGTATATTGTACTTGTCAATTTTTTATATCTTCATAACTCAGAGCAATCATGGGGAAAAAAAGAAAGTGGACCGAAGATAAATGTGAATTTCGTCCTAGAGACAAAGTGTTGGACCAAACTGTGAGCCAATCATCATCTGTTAAGGTTGGTAAAACAAAAAAAACAAAAAAATTAATGGTGGAATCAAAGTATGAGCATAAATATAAATCAAACTTACTTGCCATTATTAGAGAAATATGTGACATTAAGATAAGTGAAGTACACAAGAATGTATTGAGAAAAAAACTCATTTTGGTTACTCTGTCAAAGTATCATTGATAAAAAAAATTAGACAAATCATGGTGTAGAAAGAGTGATAGTAACATCCAGGATGTGGTATTGTGCTTTGATGTTAATACATCCAACTTTCATATTAGCGTGGAGGAAATTAAATTGCAAAGAAACAATGTCAAAATTATCTTTGGGATACAAGATGGTTGCAATCCAATGGATTCATCAACTCATGGGAAGAAAAATACAAAATTTGTTAAACAAAGATTCAAGAAGGATAGCAGGTTGACCTCAACTTTGATAAAGAGTAAATTGGTTGAAGCAGCAAATGGAACAACCAAAAAAGAAGTTGATGACATTGCAAGGCTGATATGCCTATTTTTATTGGTAACTCTTTTTTTCACACAGACCGGGACATCTCTAGGATAAGATTATGTTCCATACATTGAGGATTTAGACACAACAAAGAATTATGATTGGTCAAGTGTTATTCATGAAGCTCTTATTTCTTCACTTCAGAGAAGGAGTAACACCCCCATCAAGTGTTATTAGATGTGTAATATTATTACTGGTAATTTTTTAATAGCCTCATTACATTCCTAATTTTGTTTCCTTTAACTTAATAAATGAAAGTAATGCATTTTGTTTCCGAACATGTTTCGATAGGGAACATGTAACACAGTCAAATTTATCACTAACACAAACATTACTCAAAACAAAAAA